CGCCTGTGGTCCCAGCTACTTGGGAGGCTGAGGCAGGAGACTCACTTGAGCCCAGGAGTTGGAGGTTGCTGTGAGCTGTGATGCCATGGCACTCGACCCAGGGGGACAGCTTGAGGCTCTGTCTCAAAAAGAAAAAAAATGTAGAATAAAGTTTGAGCACAGTGGCTCATGCCTATAGTCCTAGCATGATGAAAGGCTGAGATGGGAGGATCGCTTGAGGCCAGCCTGATCGAGAATAATACCCCATCCCTACCAAAAAATAAGTTAGCAGGCATAGTGGTACATGCATGTAGTCCTTCCTAGCTATTTAGGAGGCTGAGGCAAGACCTTGTCTTAAAAAAAAAATGTAGGATGTAAGTCTGGAGCTCTGATGTTGTGTACAGCACAAGGACCATGTAATAAGATTCTATCCTGGCTCAGTGGCTATAGCTCAGTGAGTAGGGTGCTAGCCACATACACCAAAGGTGGTGGGTTCAAGCCTGGCCCGGACCTACTAAAACAACAATGACAACTGCAACCAAAAAATGGCCAGGCATTGTGGTGGGCCTCTTTGGTCCCGGCTACTCAGGAGGCTGAGGCAAGAGAATCGAACCCAAGAGTTTGAAGTTGCTGTGAGCTGTGATGCCATGGCACTCCACTGAGGGTGACGTGGTAAGACTGTGTCTCAAAAGAAAAAAAAGATTGTATCCTATTTGGGTTCCTGCTCAATGAGTGGATTTTAGCTGCTTTTGCCACAAAATCCAAAAATGGCTAACTCTGGGAGTTGATGGCTTTGTTCATTTGCTTCCTATAATATTACATTGCATACCTTGAATACACACAATAAAAAAAAATTTTTTTTTTTTGAGACAGAGTTTCACCTTGTCGCCCTCACTAGAGGGCTGTGGCGTCACAGCTCACAGCAACCTCAAACTCTTGGGTTCAAGTGATTCTCTTGCCTCAGCCACCTAAGTAGCTGGAACCACAGGTGCCCACCACAATGCCCAGCCACTTTTTGGGTTGCAATTGTTGTTGTCTAGCAGGCCCAGGCCAGGTTGGAACCCGCCACCTTTGGTGTATGTGGCTGGCGCCCTACTCACTGAGCTACAGGCACCAAGCCAGCAATAAAATTGATTTTAAAAAAAATAAAAACTAAGCCAGGGCCTGCCACTGCTCTGATCAAGGCTCTAGAGCAGTGGTTCTCAACCTGTGGGTCATGACCCCTTTGGGCGTCGAACGACCCTTTCACAGGGGTCACCTAAGACCATCCTGCATATCAGATATTTACATTACGATTCATAACAGTAGCAAAATTACAGTTATGAAATAGCAACAAAAATAACTATGGTTGGGGGTCACCACATGAGGAGCTGTATTAAAGGGTCGCGGCATTAGGAAGGTTGAGAACCACTGCTCTAGAGCTACCTCTGATTCCTTTCGGGTGGAAATTTCTTGACTTAGAAGCTGAATTACTCCTCAGTCCATGGGTTGCAGAATGAATATTCTGTTAGCAGGTACAAAAACAACATTTGCATCAGAGCTCTGGGGTGACCAGGTGCATGTCAGTGAGCAGTAATATTTTGAAAATAATCTTTTTGGAGCTATAGGTCTCCACAGTGGGCTTAAAATATTTAGTAAACAGATA